CACAGACTCAACGTTATTCCGTTGGAGAAGGATCATCACGTCGAGTACGGCGTCAGCAGATGTGCTCACGGTGTAGGGTCACCGGGCATAACAGGGAGAAGTGCCCTCTATACGAGGGTGATAATGACTTTTTTTCAAATGAAGAAGGTCAAAACGCACCAACTCCTCATCCAAAACGCCCGAGGAGATGTCCTACATGTAAAGAAACAGGTCACAAATCGTCATCTTGTCCATCACGTCCAATCCATGAAAATTAAGATGAAGATGGAGTTTTTAATTGTAAACCAATTTAACGAAAATAATACTTTTAACGGGAAAAATACTGTGTTGGTGCCCTAAGTTGTGACCTGCACATGATTGACTAACAAAAATTAGTGAAACTAGGTTGATTGAGCGATTCGCATAACATGTCCCATAATAATCGCACAATTGGGTTGATTGTGCGATTCCCATATCATATCCCATAATAATCGCACAACTGGGATGATTCGCCTAGTCTTCAACCGCATAATTAACGAATCGTATATCCAAATCGAAAGCCGCATAATTTACGACTATCTGCCATTTTTTTCGCATATCCATATGGACCGCATTGATTGATTGTCTGCACCGCATATCAAAATCGAAAGTGCTTCGCATGTTATTCGCATACGTTACGCACCGTATTGATTGATTGTCTGCGCCGCATATCCAAATCGAAAATGCTTCGCATATTGTTCGCATAAGTTAAGATTCGCATCATTTAGGATTATGCGGCATATGTTCGCATAATTTGAGATTCGCATATCCAAATCTATAAGGGTAGATAGTAGATAACTATCGATTATGCATATTGTTATCGCTTATTTAAGAATCGCATATCCATATAAAACCTCGCATAAATGTATCAATATGCGAACACATTTCAAAAAGTGTTACGCACAACTTTTTTTCACCAAATAGTTTTTTTCAATTCATTATTAATTTAGTCAAAGACATTTTCCAAAATTTACAAACTATTCAAAAAATATGGGATGTTTGTATGTCACAATTTTTTACGTCGGGGAATATAAAATTTACAGAAACAAATATAAAAAATATGTTATTCGTTATAGTTCGAGTTATGCGTTTTTATGCGGAAATGTTTCGAGTAATAATCGCAGGTTCTTTCACCTAATAGAAGTCTTCTTCAATTTATTAAATAATCACTGACAGAACTTAAAAAAAAAAAGCGAGTTGTATAATCTGCGACGTATATGCGGAAATGTTTCGAGTAATTAAATGCACCAATTCTGCGAATAATATGCGACATATATGTCGTAATTTTGCATCGACTCAACTACTTTACATCAACTAATTTTTTATAGGCGAATAATATGCGACGCATGTACGTCGCAATTTTACATGTACTCAACTATTTTACATCCACTGTGAAGTAGTTTACAAGTAACCTTACAACGTCACACAAATTACTAGATAGAGGAGGCTACAACAGTGAGTTGAAAGAACAACTTCAAATGTACAAAAAAAAAAGAACAGCTTCAAAGATCAGAACCAATTGGATGACTGTGCCGAAGCTGGAGGAACATGGGGGGCTAAACAAGTTGGACCGCGACATGAACGTGTTCGCCAAGCCATGTTTGACTTTCGATAAACATTTGAAAGTCTCAATCAGTATACCCCGGAAGAACAAGCACCTTCGTCTTTGAAGGGGTGCTCCCTTTCACCGTCGTAGGCGCCTCAATCTAGTAAACCCCGGAAGACCAAGCAATTCGCAAGAGATTCCACGCCTACTCAAACACATGGTCACCTACAACTTTTTCAGCCTCCAATTTTTTTTAGCTTACAATGTGAGACGACCATGTGCGTGGGAAGGCGTGGGATCTCCAGGGAGAGTGCTTGGACTTCCGAGGTATACTAGATTGAGGAGGCTACGACAGTGAAAGGGAGCGCACCCTCAAAGACAAAAGGAGGATCAGGACCCATCTCTCAATTATTCAACCTTCGATTTTTCTCAACATGTCCGTACAATGAAGTGACTTCATTGACCGGCATGTTGAGGAAAGCGAGAGTTGAAGAATGTTGAGAAAATGGTCCTGATCCTAATTCAATTATCTCATCTCAGCTACCTTTTATAGAAGACTCAAGAAGATATCCTCATTGATACGAGCGACGTTATTAATTTGTCAAAGACTGAGAAGACGTTTTGGAGCGACTCTTTAAATTCGCAGAACTGCGAATAAAATGCGATGAATTGCACTTCATTCGCATAACTTTATGACAATAAATGATTTTGCATATCTGGTTAATCAAGAAGATATTTATCCTCCTTGATACACGCGCCGTTATTAATTTGCCAAAGACTTGAGGGGACGGTTCGGAGCGACTCTTCAAATTCGTAGAACTGCGAACAAAATGCGATGAATCGCACTGCATTCGCATAACGTAT